ATGCCTAAGTAGATATGTAGAACAAATAGTTACTTTTTTGAAAATTAATATGGATTTACTAGAACATATCCAATTGTGTTTTAATAATATTTTGTAATTATATGCGATGAATGGAAACATCTAATTATATATTTTTGTGATATTTGGGTAGAAATTGATATTGTATATCGTATGTTCATTACAAATTTTTTGATTGCATATACACTTGCCCCCGACATTAGAATCCTGCATCCGTCCCTGTGTATAAGGATGCACAGAGGAAGTAGAAGAAGAGAGAGAGAGAGAGAGAGAGATTTGTTTGCTGCATTAGGGTTTGAACGGTAGAGTATATATATATATATAGGTAGTTTGGTTTTTTTTGCAAAAGTATGTCCTTATTGGGAAAGTAATTTGACACATGGACTTTTAGACAACAGAAATCTAAAATTGGATTTATGAACCGAAAGCCTTTTAAGAAATTAAATCGATTTGATGATCATAATTTATTTAATTATTAAGTTAATTATTAAAAAAATGGTGATAATTATATTTTTTTTTAAAAATTATTTTTTTAATAAAAAACGATAAATTAAATTTATTACAATTATCAGATTGGACAATTTTTTTATGAATAAAATATATAAAATATCTGACAAAATAAAAAGTTTTAATCACTAAAACACGACTCATGATAAATTTTACATACCCAAACAACACCCTCTGATCTATATTATGGACAATAGGGAATCTGGCGTCCTATAACTTATTATACCAATATTTGTTTATTTTATTTATTTTTATGAATAATTTATATTTATATGATTCCAATAGTAAACCTAAGCACAGGTGGCTCGAAACGAATCAGAATCCTCTCATTGATCTCTTTCTCTCTATTTATTGGGCCATTGGACCCATTTTTGGACTCAATTTCAATGATCCAAACCGTTGACATTTTAAGATTTGTTAAGTATATTATACCTATAAAAAATCAGGTTCATCGGATATCAGAAATTATGTGTTCAGATCATCGAACTAAAAAATCATTTTTAAAAAAAAATTAATAAACAGTTTTCTAAAAATTTAATAAACAGTTTTCTGATATTCGATTCACTTAATTTTTTAGAAGTATGACATACTCAATAAATTTTAAAACATAAACTATTTAAATTATCAAAATTAAGCCAAAAAATAAGCCCAATAAAAAGAGAAAAATCGAGGAGAGCATCCTGATTCTGCTGGAAACAAGCAAGTAGTAGCCTTTAAATTAACGCCAGCCAAGGTATAAATTGGTGGTACCAAAGAGGTTCTTTAAATTAACGCCATCCCCAACAAGGAAGATTCTTTACAAAAGTCGTTCCCTATAGGGCATTCTCTATTCTTGCAGAGTTAAAATTGAACCATGAAAGCATACAGCAATACAAGAAGATGCAGAAGAAAGCTTATCATCGGCTGTACTTCCTCAGAACATTCATTCGCTGCTGAATTAATTGCCAACAGTTCAGATCTCCTAACAGAGATCCTAATCCGAGTCCCAGCAAAATCCCTAATCAGATTCAAGTCGGTCTCAAAGCAGTGGCTCTCTCTCATCTCCGACTCCCAATTCGCCTCCGACCACGCTCGCCGAAATCGCCATTCCTCCGTCTCAGCCTTATATTTCTACTCAAACCGTTGGTCTCCCGAAGAACAGCTCGAGTCCGTATCAATTGCTGGACACCGAACTCTTCTTCCCACGCTCTCCTTTCTCGATGGTGTTGTTGTATCAAGTTGTACAACTACGATTGAACGCTCTTGCAATGGTTTAATCTTGTGCTCTAATGGTTTCAGAAAACCCCCGTATATTGTTTGTAATCTCACCACAAAGAAATTCTCACTTCTTCCTGATATTGGTCCCACTTCATCTGAATCGTATCGTAAAAATGTTGGTGCTTTCTTGGCTTTTGATCCTTCGAAATCGCGTCACTGCAAAGTTTTATTGTTTAGTTACAGTTATGTTAATAATGGACGCTGGGTTGAAGTTGAAATTTACAGTTCCCAGACTTCGTCTTGGAAACACATTTCTGTACCCGAACCGCGAGGTGCGCGATTCACGTTCAGGGTATTTTGGAACGGAGCAATTCATGGTATAAGCTATGCGAATGTTCATGTTCGATTTGAGGTTGAGGAAGAGAAATTGATACAAACCGCAATGCCTCGAAACCCTAAAATCCTTTCTCATGATAAGATTAGGTATTTTGGAGAATGTGGTGGTGATTTGCTTCTTATTCAGACTCCTCAGCGTTGTGCTATGGGATTCAGAATCCTTCAGATGCACAGGGATTACTGTGAGTGGATTGTGAAGTACCGGGTCCATCTTAGACCCATTTTATCTGTATTACCTAAGACAGCTCGCAAAACCATAATCACACGCTGTGAGTTTAATGTGCTCTGTGTCGTGAAGGGAGCAAATGAAAAAGATTTTACACTGGTGTTAGCTATCCGGGGCAAAGTAATTTCTTATAATGTCAAGTCTAAGACATTGAAGGAGCTTCATGATTTATCAACAGATGATCTTGATGATTGGGGGGGAGCAAGTTGGTGTAATACTTATCAATTCATTGAAAGCCTATCACCTGTTTGATCATTGTCCTACATGTTTCTACTTCTTTCTTCAGCAGATGGTATGTCCCTCAATAAACTTTTCTATATTTCTATCTATTTATGTATTTGTTATTGTTAGTTTCTTGGTCTGTGATGCTATGCTACTATCACCTTTTGATGTGTAGATTCTGTTTTAAGTTTGCATTACAAATCGATTCCTCATTCATCAATTAGGGTTGAAATACAACTGATGTACATAGCATAGCTCCTGCAGTAATAGAGCATCACTGTGATTATCAATTTTGTTGCTTTATATGTGAGCCCTGTTTTGACCACAGTAATTCATTCACTCAAGTATCATTTAGATTGTTCTGATTACCAAAGAGGGTATGTTAAACTCATTCACTTCCTGGTTTTAATCTCCTAGTTATGATGTAGTTGGGTGGAATGGTTTAAAATGCTCTTGGAAGGAGTAGAATATATTGAAACAATCCGTTGTTTGCAACTGTCATTAATTATTGGCAGTTCCTTCTTGTGAGGACAGGAGAGAGACTAGGTTTCTTCTTTTGTAAAATGTTTCTAGGGAACAAATAAAAAATTATGAAAAAGATCTTGTTAGTCCACGCTGCCTCACTAGTTCTTCCAGAATAAAATGAATTTCCTTAACAAATCAAGAGATTTAAGGTGTTAGTTTACATAGGAACCAATAATTGTGTTCAAAACTGCGTAAATAACAATTATAAAAAAAATAAATTGCTTGTGATAATATTGTTAGGATTCTGCGCTTTGTATTTTCATTTTCCCTCTGTATGAGGATGTCTCATCCCCGTTGCTTTTTTGATCTATAAATAAAATCTTTTGTTGTTGATCCAAAAAAAAAAAAAAAAAAAAAAAAAAAAAAAAAAAAAAAAAAACAGGCCTGGTTTGGGGCCCGGGGGGGGGCAAGGGGGGGGTCCCCGCCCGCCGGTGAAGCGAAAATACTAGGTTCTCAACTTGGCTCTGATACCATGTTGAAAATTTAATGTATAAAGAGAAATAGAGAATTGTATAGATATTGATGGTTAATGTATAAGCTAAAGTTTATCATCCTAAATCCAACTTAAAAATTAAATGAATTTAAATGACAGTCAGCATCTTACATTTTCACATTTTAGTTCATCCATTTTTTATTTCCATGGCCTGCAGTACTATGGCATCCCTGTGAGCCCTACGAGTCCAATTTTGGCCATTGTAATACGTTAACTCAATTATCATCCTTTGATCTGATCACCAAAGAGGGCTTGGTTTACTCGTTTCACTTCACGGTTTTGAAATTGGCTTCGGGAAACATCATAATTGATTAGGTTTTGATTGGTCGATTAAGGCTGGCATACAATTGATGTACATAATCCATCCATAGTTTACTTCCCATATAGGAGAGAGATTGTTTTCTTATTTTGTAATTGGATTCATGTTAATAAATCTAAAACAATAGATTTTTGTAAGACGGTGTTGTTTCTATAGTTCTCCTGTTATTGGCCTAGGGACAAGGCCTTGGGTATTGGAGGTGTGCTCCCTCCAAGGTTCAAGGATTGAAACCTCTTACATGCTAACAATTTCTTGGGGCCATCAAACTGGGGGAAAACCCTTAAATTCGTATATTCAATTGTGTTTGTAATACAAGAGTATATCAATTTATATAACAATCTAACCTAGGACTGAAAATGAAGCAATCCCTAATATATATGTATAATATCCATATATACATAAAACCTAATATTCTCACAATTATTGATGATCGAGATGGCAACGGTGGAGTTTGAGCAACAACAACAACGACGATGACAATGGGTTTTGTTTTAAGTTTGATAAAAATCTTATTTCTTCACACTACATTTGTAAAAAGATTAGAAGTTTTCAATCTTATTTTTTCACACTACGTTTGTAAAAAGATTGGAAGTTTTCAAAATCGTTGCTTTTTTAATTATTTTCTTTTGCGGCTTTTTGTAGTTTGAGTAGGTTCTTTATGTGGATTTGTGGGCTTTGTTGTATTTTTTTCCTTTTCATTATCTTGTAAGTTGCTTGGCTTTTATATAAACTGCATTTCTTCATCGAAAACTAATTAGTTACTTATCTAGAATGTTCTCATTAAACTACTTGCCAATTAATAGTATTCCATTATTTTTTTGGTCATTAATTTCATTATTACCACGCATCCAATTTTTTTGGCAAGCAATCAACTAGTTGTTAAGTAATTTAACTATAACGTTTGTGATATCAATGATATAAATTATCATAACTTACATATAATATACATTAAAAAAAAAAAAGAACAAGGTATATTGTAAAAAGGCCCCTTTTCAAAAGGCATTTTTATGTTGACATAAAAATGTCTTACATATAATATACATTAAAAAAAAAAAAAGAACAAGTGTATATTGTAAAAAGGCCCCTTTTCAAAAGGCATTTTTATGTTGACATAAAAATGTGTTTAGCTTTTAAGACTTTCATGTTCCTGATTAAATCCACAACAATTCTTGTAAGGTCATTATATTTTTATTTTGCAAATCTTTGAAAAGATTTTTTCCTTTAACAAACTTCAATATATTACCGTACCAATTCTTATTTTATTTTTTTTCGATGCCTTTTTTTCACTAATTTTTGTTTCGTTTCTAAGACAATTGATGAAATTAGAAAGTCTTGAAGGTGCAAGATTTTTCTTTCTTTCTTTCTTTTTTTTTTTTCATTTTTAGTTTTTATTAACTTTGATTTGTTTTATAAAAGAACTTGTCAAGTAGTCTTACACGCCACATGCAAAGAACGTGCTTTTTCACTAGTTTCTTTATATATGATCCCACACATATATGTTAATATATATTATTTAACAAGCCCTTTAATAGCCATGTGTATATTTTCACATTACACGCTTTAATGTTCGTATATATATTTTTACATTAGCTACTCTCACTCTCGCTTCTCTCAACTAATTAGTTATTGTCGACACTGAACTCTGATGGAGGGGTGCACGACTTTCTATCTCAAGAGATTCCCAATACCCCTCTAATGACTTTGTGACAATCCTGTGAAGAGGGGTGCGAGACTTCCTCTCTGTAAAGATTCTTGACGCCCATTCAACGACTTTCTGACGCGTTTTCGATAAGCTCCAAATACACTTCCATCATGTAGTAGATTTGGGTTTTTATGCATACGGAGAAGAGTTTGAAAGCTTCTGTGTAATTCTTACACAGAATGCTTTCTCCTTTCATCATTCTTAAATTTTGGGATTATCAGTACCCATAATGGTTACTCATTACTGTTGTGGGTGTTCATGTGCTTTGGCAACCCATGGTTGCTAGTGTGTTTATTTTTTATTTATTTTTTTTGCGGCAGGTTTTTGTTGTTTGTGTAGGTTTCTTTATTTGGGCTTATGGGATTTGTTCAATTTTTCTTTTTTTTCTTCTTTACCTTGTAAGTTTCTTGGTTGTTATCTAAAGAAAAAAAATTAATCCCAAATTGACCCACTTAACCCAATAAAAATAAGTATATATACTTTTCTTATATTTTTGTTGTTTGTCTAGTTAATTTTATAATTAAATAATATAAAATTAATATTAATGTTTTATAAATAAGCGTGTTAGGCAGGAATAAGCTAAAGTTTATCATCCTAAATCCAACTTAAAAATTAAATGAATTTAAAATTTTAATTCAATCTAATCTTACAAATATCGAGCTTAATTGGGCCAGTGATGGGCCCATGAGCACCCCTATCCCCAACATTTAAAGCAAATGACACAGCAAAAGAATCTCTGGAAGTTTAGGGCAGATCTCTTCCCCTTCACGCTTCTTCACTTCTGCCTCTCTTCAAGTGTTTGGGTAAATTGTGGTCTGCCATCAACAGAAAACGAACATCACCGATTTGCTTCGGCTATTGTCGTCACCAATCTTCATGGCCCGTCTGTGTCGGCTATCTTGCTCGCCACTCTTCATCGGCTGTCTTCCCACCAATGTAAATCTCTTCCCTTCCATTCTATACACGAATCAATGGATTGTGGTAAGCTGCCATATTTCGTAGATGTTCAACAGATTCGCCCCAAATAATAGTGGGTTTTGTTTGAATACAGTACTAATTGCTCTGATCTGTTAGTTTTTTAAGATATGTTCGCATCAACTCTATGATATGTGAATTTTAGGGTCAGATCTTTTGGGTTGAATGAAACCAAGACAGTGTGGGTGATCTTTTTCTTTTTGTACATGTTCACTCATCATCTCATGTACTTTAGAGGTTCATTTTCTGCAGTCCTAATTCACTTCTAGAGTAGAGATGTTCCATCGAGATATCTTGTATTGATGGCATTTTTGGGCATTTTTCTTTGGCTGTGATAAAGATAATGGTTGTGCTAATTTTTGAGTTCAGTTTAAAAGGGTGTATCTTACGAACATATGATCAGTTCATTGGATACTTTTAACAAATTTAACAATTTGTGAAGTCACTTTGATTTTTTTGGAAATACCATACCAAATTAACATTTCCCACTAATTTCGGCAAAGTCACTCTTTGGTTGTTATAATTTTCTGGGAGACACTTTACCAAATGATCTTACCATGGCCATTGCTAGAAAAGAAAAGCATACACTTTACAGCATTTGCCAGCAGGGGCGAAACTAGGAACTTTTTTCTGGGAGGGGCCAACATATATGTGTATAAAATCCATAGTTAGTTTTGATACATTACTAATTTAACATAATTTCTTGTATAAGCATTGGAAAAGAAGTATTTTACGAGAAAACTAATAAATGTCACAAATAGTTTTTCTCAGTTTTTAAAAGTTTTGAACTATTGATTAGATCTCACTATGCAATAAGTTCATTCTTTTAGTTTATTTATTTATTTATCAAATTTGGGTGAAAAATTAGTCATAAGCTTGATATGATATGGGATGCTCCAACTGCTTTTTCATCAAATTTAAGTAAAAGCTTGATTTGGTGAAATTTGATGAAAAATTTTGAATGCCCCAATCCTCACTTAAAAAATTTCATCAAATCCATTTTGAAAATTGGGTTTGGCTTCTCAACTTGAGAGAACTAGAAAGGAGAACTTGAGGGGCTCGTGAGGCTTGTTACAAGTTATGTTTCGATGATCCAAACCGTTCATGTAGGGGCTTCCATGTATATCATCCATGAAAAAAATTATCTTAATTGGATAATGGTAACCTTTTCATTTTATCATGTTTGTTTTCGAAAAAATGGACAATGAGTATGTTTTTTAAAATAGACCATTCATATTTTTTTGAGACAAATACGGTAAAGGAAAATATTACGATTATCAGATTGAGCCAATTTTTTTCATAGATGATATATGCAAAAGATCTTATGAAATGAACGGTTCGGATAATTGACACAAGACCTGTAGTGGGCCTTACGAGCCACTGAAGTGATGCCCAACTCTTAAAAATTCCATGCTTATGCCCAAAAGTTTGTTTCATCAAATTTGGTGAAAAACTTATTTTTGCCTTGATTTGATGAAAAGTTCGGTTAAAACTTGATTTGATACAAATTTGATGAAACGATTGGAGTCATTGTCATCAAATTCAAATTTGACACTAGATTTGGTGAAGGATGGGAGGTTGCTGTAATGAATTATAATAGTGACCAGAACACATCATAGTTGTAAGGAAAATGCTTGACTAAAAGGAATTCTAGCAGTGGCATTAATTTGTGATTAGTTAAAATAGGAAAACTAATTTTTTAACTAAAATTTGGCTGAAATTTAACTTAGTTTGATGGAGATGTGTATTCTCTGTTCTTGTTCTGGGTTATGCACAGGGAAAAATGACCAACAGTAAAGGAACACTAGTTATTGGCTACAATTCATCGGAATGTACACCGGCAACAGAATTCATTGGCAGCAATGTAGATATTCTAACAGAGATCCTAACCCGTGTGCCGGCAAAGTTCGTCATCAGATTCAAGTGCGTGTCTAAGGATTGGTTCTCTCTAATCTCCAATTCACCATTTTCTCAACCACTCTAACCGACATCCCAGTGCCTTGTTCTCAGGACTATTCATCAACCCTGTTACATCATTTGACGATGAAAAAGTCAAGTCTGTCTCACTTCACGGCCAACACCAAGTCTTCCGACTTCGTCATTTCTTGATGGTGTTGGATATGGGTCTGGTACATGTAGGATTGAAGACTCTTGCAAAGGCTTACTATTATGCTTGAATGGCCCAACGTGTTTCATTGTTTGTAACCTGACCACCCAGAAATACACAGTACTTCCCTATCATAGTGGCACTAAGGCATCTTCTGTACCATTTCATAACAAGTTTGGTGTTTTCTTGAGTTCTATGTTTGGTGGTTATTTGGCTTTTGATCCTTCAAAATCACCTCACTACAAAGTTGTATTGTTAAGTTACATTAGGAATAGTGATGGCTGCTTTGACTTAATTGACATATACTCTTTGGAGAGCACTTCTTGGACACACATGCGTGCTGCTGCACCACCAGGTTACCCTTTCGCAAAATATTGCACATAGGTCTTATTGTTCACTTCATAATATTGCACATAGGTCTTATTGTTCGCATGCTTATAGGTTAGCATGATAAGCAATATTGTTCCATCATTGCCGCATGTAGTGCTTGTTTTGTTGCTAAATGGAAGTAAGGTTCAGTGCCTTCTCTGAATTTTCTTTCCTTTTCCCTTCATCTTGTAGACCAATGTATGACAAAGTTGAAGAATAAACAAGAACCTAACTTTCTATTTTGATACTTTTCTTTCTCATTTCTTTCTCATTCTATATCTGAAAGTCTTGATGCGTCTCTGCCCAGTTGGTCTGAATCCCTTCAAGTTTTGCAACAAGGCAAAGCTTTCTCTTGATTTCATTCCCATAATTTGCAATTTTATTACTTGTTTTGATTGTTTTTACGAATTCACCGGAATGTGTTGGAGTACACAATTGGTCTTATTATATAAAATTGATTTGGGAAATAATAATATCTATACACACTACAAAAGGTGCACATAACAAATGTATTCAAAATTTCAGCCACAATAGTTTTTAGTAAAATTTTAACTTGTAATCTTAATTATGAATCATTTGTTTGTGGTGAGTATGATTATGAGCCTTTGTTGTGATTGGTTAATCAAAGTGTCTTTTTCTTTTTCTTTTTTAATGAACCAAATTGGTTTTAGCTGGGAGGTTTTGTGGTGTTTAGTTATGTATTGAAAAGACCTTGACTATGAGGTTTTGTGGTGTTCTCTTATGAACCGGATAAGTCTTGATTATGAGAATTTTGTCGTCTTTAATTATGATCCAATTTGGTTTTCATTATAACCCAAATTGGTGTACTAATAATGAACTATTGTGACTAAAATTCTAAAGTGTATGTCATGTATAATTTTTTTTTTATTTTTAAGTATGTATACTATCACTTCCCCATTTGAAGAACCAAATCAGCTGCACAACCTAGAAATCAATTCAAAAAATTTAAAAAATACAAAAAACATTATTGGGAGGGATGATTAAAAAAAACCATATGGAGGGAGGAGAATTTTTATACGACATGCAAAACATGATACGAATGCTATACGAATTTAGTGGATTAGAATTGAACATTTTTCAATTCAATGACACGATAAATAAACAAGTCAAAATAGAGTCAATTTAGTGCAACTTGATTAATAGAGATTTAGTTACAATTTAATGTTATGTTCACTAAATAATGCCATGTGATGTTTAAATTTCTTATGTAATTTGATCCAATTAAATAAAAAAAAATTTGCAAAATAAGATTTTAGGGTCAATATAATCATTTTATATTGGGGAAATTGCAAATAAATACTAGCATTTTGGGAAAGACATCATTTCAATGGAAATGTTATCCCGTATATCAATATAGATGGAAAACCAAAAAACAATTACAATATCATGTATTCAGTTTTTTATAGGACATAAATACCCCTAACACACTCCCAACCCCTCTCTCTCTCACTTCCCTTCCCCCTTTTGCTTCTCTTCCCACTCTCTCACTCATCTCTATTGAGACCCTTCTCAATAATGAATTAATCTTTGAATATTTCTAAACAGCAATGATACATTCCCTAATTTTGGAACTCTAATTGAGTTATAATGATGTAGAAATTTAAAATAAAAAACTAAAAACCAAGGCCAAAACATTACATCAATGGGTGGGGTTCACCCCTAGAACTCCTTTAGATCTCATATTTTAGAGTTCCCAAATATTTTTCATTTCTAAATCATAGCAATTCAAAAAATGTTCACTTTTAATAATAAGAACTAAACTAAAAAATGATTATTTACGCCACATGAATTCGCCATGACATCCAAAACGTATGGTTTAGTTTAGTTCTCAATACACAACTCGGTCTCAGTTCTAAAAATAAGCAAACCGTACTATTCAATCCGCAGTTTATACTTGTGGATTTGTTTTCCAAATCAAACTAGACTATTTAGATAGATCTACACGTATATAATTTGTTACCCATAGTAAATAGTTAAATATTTTATTGCCTTTGTTTGGCAATGAGTTAATATAACTAAAAAGTCAAAAAGTTATCATAAGTTGTTATATTACTTTTTCTATTTTTTTGTACACATATCAATGGCAAAACATGCAACAACATATTAGGCAACTAAAAGAGAGAATGCATGCCAAATGCATTACAACCTAAGCATGCAACAACATGTCATATAGCTCAAGCAATGCAACAAAATGCAATAGCTAAACATGTATCAATAATGCAAGCAATGAGCATGCAAAACACTATGCAACCAAAACATGCAAGCATGAAGCAATGTAACAACATTTGAACAACATGCAAATAGTGGACTTAAACTAATATGGACAAGCCTCAACCATGTCTAAATAAGTAGCCAAAATGCTATGAAAATGAAGGCAAATTTACATACAAACATGCATGCGAACATGGTCCAACACTTAAGCACAAAGAGGGGACTTTTAAGCACACTTAAAAGGAGATGATCATGGACCAATGACAAGCATGGCAAACTCTGAAAATCATGTTAAGGATGGTGCCAAACCAACTAAACAAAGTAATCAAAGCATGTAACCAAGGTCCAAAGCTCAAAGCTATCAAAAAGGGGGAGGGGGGGAGGGGTTAACCCATGGCCATGCCAACCAAGCCTCAAAGGGCTAAAGGGACTCAAAACAATCCCAAGGCAGACCAAAACAAGGTTAAAGACACAACTAGATGGCATCTAAATGGCCTAAGTCTAAAGGCATGCATAAAAGTCCAAACATGGAGCATAAAACATAAACCTTTTGAAGCATCAAAGGAGCCATAAATGCAAGTATACAAGCATGCTATATGGACTGAAATGACATGATAAGTGGTTCCAAACCACTGAAATAGTGCAAGCAATGCATGCTACACACTCACACACCTAAGGCTAACAAGCTAAAATGCAAGGTGGCTATACTAAGCATGCTATGGTCGACCAAAACAACCAAGAACAGAACTTAAGAATGCTAAAACAAACACAAAAGCTTCACAAAGCTTGGCCAAAATCATGCTAGAGCAAGGGTCAAAGCCTAAAGCATGTTAAGGCAAATTCATGGCATTACAAGACAAGTATGCAAAGCATGCATGGTGTGTCTAAACCAACTGAAAACAGAGCTAATACATGGCAAAATACTACCAAATAACAGCTAAGGCAAGGTCAACATGAACCTAAACTTGGTGCTCACACATGAGGCAAAAATGGACCTTTTTGAGGACAACAAGGAGAGGGGGTGGCCCTCTCCTTCCTAGGACCTCAAGGCACCATCCTCACCTCTGAAATACCTCAAGATCTCAGTGGTGAGGAGGCCCAAACACAATGGTCTCGGAGCTCAAGCAAAATGGCACAAAACAAAGGCCAAACAAGCCTTAAGAATGGGTAAAATCAAACCCCAAACACTCATAAGAAACCGTTAAATCAGGCTATTTTAAGCAGTAAAATCAGAAACTTGATTATTAGTTATAGATCTAAGCTCAAAATAGATACAAGATAGGTAAAAGCTTATGCCAAAAATGAAAATAAAGAGCAAAAATCTCACCCTTGTAACCACCTTTCAAGAAACAAGGCTCCAGCAGCCTTCCAAATCTTAAACCACTCAAAAATCAAGAACAGCCATTGGCACCTCAGCAAACCCAAGTAAGTGTTTTGGATACTATGTGTCCTATGCAAAACTAAGAACACAATACCACCTTATTACACGCACAAGATGAAATAGAGGGAAGATATAGAGCTAGAGAGATACAAATCCTAAACCCTAATCTTCAGACCCTCTCTGGAACTTTTTGGAAGCCCTTAGGAGAGAGAAAGCCCTCCCTTTATAGAGATTCACTCTGCAACTACAAAAAACAAGCTAAGCAAAGAGGGAAACCCTCCATACACGGTTATCGGAAGAGTCATTTGTGAATGCCAAGCTATCACATGCTGACATACATTTGGCAAAAGCAGATGATACAGTGATCGCCAGCCAAAAAACAAAGTTGACCAAAACAATGGCGGCCGACCATAAGAGTGCCAGCTGGCCATTACCTAATGCCGCGTAGCCTCAACTCAATGCCGGTGAGGTGTGGATGGCCAACAACCTCATTCCTCTACCCTCAGAAGCAAAACAACAAGTGTTTGGTGCAAAACCAAACACAAAACAGGCAAGTCGAGAGGTCTTGAGACAAGGCGCGTGGTCGAGACCTCCGAGAACTCAGGATGAACACAAACATGGATGATCACCGAGTGTTCAAACGGTGACGTCCAAGTCTTGAAAACGGTCAAAAATGGGGTGTCTACACCTTGCTGGGCAGAGAGACTAAGGCTTGCCCTCTTGCGAATAAGGTCTTTCCACCTTACAAGCCTCCATCTTCCCCTAATCCAGCTGAGCGGAAGCAAGCTCAACTTCTGCTCGTGGCTTTCTCTCACCTGCCCTTCAATGTTCTTGAGGACGAAGTCTCTCTCAAGAACCTTCGATGGGCTTGTGATATTCTGACTCGGGGTCATGTCCTCAATCCCCTCGCAAACAGAACTTCACATGTTTTTGGACCAACTTCCATTGCTTCTCCACTAGCATCGGACCTCTATGGCCACCGCACAATCTTTAGACCAACTCTCGTCCTTTCGAGTTTATGCCCAGTACGAAGCAAAGAACTTCATTGAAGAATTCGAACATTTCAAGAATATAGATTCTGCGTACTGGGATGACTTGGATATAGACGAATTGGAACAAGGATTAAGAGAAACAGCATTCAAAATAAAGGCTGAAGAGCTCTTTTACGAAGTGAGAACACATCAACTCATGCAGCTAATGTTAGAAGAAATAGAGGATAGAATAAAGAAAGAACAGAAATTCATTGATCATAGTTGGACCAAATTTCATGATCTTATTATTTATTCTATTCCTTACTTTTATGAACTTGAATTTGTACCCAAAGAGGGCCATTCAATGTAATTGCTTTTGCTTTAATACAACTAAGACTTTTCTCTTTATTTGGCATTGTTTGATCTTGTCTCCATTTGTCTTTAAAAGCAAATTCAGGGCTTCAAACTAAACAATCTTATCCTTTGAATCTAGGCTCAATTGTTTAAAATGAAACACTAAAAACCAACATAAACTTTTCCAATTTATGGAATAATAGTTGACAATTTTTGCTGATTTTCATTTAGAATCAGTGCTTCGAATTCGACAGTCCTACCCCTTAAAGTTTATCTCGATCATAACCAACATACGGTCATGGTCAGTATGATCAATCAGTTT